TAACCCATAGAAATACCAAACTAGCTTATACCGATATATTATTAATCCTGTTACATGTAACAGCGAACGGACAATTTAACCTTGTTTGGAATTTATTAAATTGTCACATATATTTGGTTATTTATTTCTTATTGTATTTGGGTATTTGAAATAAAGGAACATTATATTTAAGAATAAATTAAAAAACATATAAACAAGAAATATTCAATTTAAAACTAAAACGAGAAATATTCAATCTAAAACGAGAGTTTATATAAAGCACTATTCGAATTATGGTAAAAGTTCCCAATGTCACTTTTCTTCCGGATATAGATAAGTCATCTATGTAATCAAAACATTGGCGACGAATATCATTATATGTGTGTTTGTGCACATCCTAGTGTGTCACTTCTTAGACAAAATCTCGTACCTAATTATTACTTACAATATCCTTCAAGGCAGAAATTAATCGGTTTACTTTCATTGTGCAACATAAAGGTGTATAGGAAAGTATGTACTTTTCTTAGAAAGATTACTTATGTGTTGTAGATACAATTTTTATTCATTATATATATATATATTTAGGTACTCACAATCACTGAATAAATAGGAAGATATCTGTACAAATGTAATCCTTTAAACTTAATAGGGAACATATAATGTATATATCTCAATGTCATGAAAATCACGTGCTATTATACATTACTCTGCTGTCGATTTATGTGTATACTTTATCATGTTTTCACCTCTTGTACACGTTTGTCAGGGGCGTAGCTGGCCTAAAATAAAGTGCAAGCATAAGACTTGTACCAAAAATTTTTGGGACCTTTTTATGCAGAAAATTATCATTTTTCTGTCATTTTCCAGGTATGCCATGCTTAAGAAATTCACATTACTCCTTATTAACATGGTTGTTTTCAAATATAAAATAAATTTTGTAAAATGGGAAGATCAGTCGACAAGTCCACCGAGGCGTTTATCAATAGAAGTGCAATCAATGGACACATGGCCAACCCGGGAACAGGGTTAAGACAGATAAGACACAAAAGAACAAACAAAAACATTCAATATTGAAAACTAAATACAGATAAAAAACAGGAACCCTGAAAAAAAATGTGGCGACCTCCAGTGTTCCGGAAGGGTGAGCAGGTCCTGCTTCTTGCAAGACACCCGACCGTATCATTTTCGAATCGAGGGAGGGGTTTCTACGACAACGGTAGAAGGTCACTTGGGACACAGATACCCAAGGTGAATTAATAGTCTTTTAGACGAACGGACAATGGAAATACGAAATCAAACGGCGACTTTTAAGTCTTGACTTATAAGTGAGGGATATAAATCTAAAATGTTTTCAAGGTTATTGCATGTATTGAGCCTGTATTATTAAATGTTAATACTGCATGTAAGACTTATAGTATAGTTAATATCCAAAGTCCATACATCTATTTTTTGCCAAGGCAAATGATTGCAGAGCTCTCTCGGTGTCGATATTCATTTCTCTGAGAACATGTATGAAAGCCAACGAAGATAGTCTGTCCTGTACCATGGTTGAACGGAGATAAGTTTTTGGTCGCCGTAATGCACTAAATGACCATTCAGTAGTTGATGAAGTTACTGGCATTGTAACTATAGAATTGACACGATTGCAAATATTGAAGGATATAGTTCCTTATTAGTCACTGCTAGAGACGACATCAGAGATTCTCTATAACATCTGGACCCGACCAGCGTCTCTGCCATCTCTTTACCTCAGAGTTGAATGTTCCTTGATTGTCCGTCAAGTCGTGTCTAAATGTTTCGTATAGTTTGTCTATACAATCTGCTGTCAAAGATTCCAAACATGCAGGTATAAATTAAGGTTCAGAACTATCCAGTAAACGTCCTGTGAGTTCTTCAATGAAATAGTCAAGAAAGGAGAAATACAAGGCTCGCTTCCAATACTGACTAAGGGTGTCAGCTGGATAGTTAACCCGGTTGACCTGTCTTACTACTCATTCGTAATTCAATTTCAGAATATTTTTTTTTGTGAAAATAATGTGCAAGCCAATGATTTTTTGCGTAAAGGCAGCTACGCGCCTGTTTGTGTCTGAGGAAATAAAATATTTTGTCTTTGTCTTGTCTTGTATTTATTGGGGTTTCCTTTCACAAATTATTTACAAAAAATAATTTAAATCCTGTTAACTGATTTCATTTGTTTTGCTTTTGGCATCCGATGGCATAACTGTAGCGAATATTAAGTTTGTGGCAAATTAAATGTGTTTAGTTTAAACAGTATTTATTAATGAAAAATTATAACAATTAAGGAGTACAATGGTACATGAAATTCAAATATGGGATTCGGAAACAAGTTTGGAAAAACTTTTATAAATCTGTCTCCCGAAAATGTGTTTGTTGTAGTTATAAGTGGTTTCTGTTGACATGGTTGACAAGGAAACAGATATTAACAATATATTTGTACATGATTAAAAATATATGCATAAATGCTTAAACACCATAAACCATTTGTAAACGTTTGGTGGTACATACAATTGTATTTTTAGGTGTTCGTCTTCGGTAAGAGCAAGGAGGAACGTGGTTACATGAACCGGTAAAATCAGTTGAAAACTGAAATTTTATTCACTACAAATGCAAATTGAAAGGTCTATGTATCGTGTGAATCTCTACGAGACTCAAATAAGAAACACAGTGCATGTATAGTCCTATAATATAAGACTTTGGAGTTTCATATCATTAACATTTAACTTTTTTTATCGGATAATTTTTTTTTACTATCAATGTTGAAACTATGTAAAGTAAGGAATGTATATCAATCAAAACTGTCAAAATGTTTTCAAAATATATACTTACGTTAATTCAGTCGGACACAGCAAGAAACTACCAAAAGACCAGACAAACCATGCAAACGGCACGAAATCATAGTGTTTATATTTTCGAAAGCTATCGGGATTTTTCATCATTTTAATCTTTACGGAAATCGATTTACAGCTGTAGTCTCAGTTTACAGTCATCAATATTTTATATTTGCATAACCATTAAAGAATAATTATTAGAATGTTATTTGGTTATTGCTATTTTCATACAAATATTTTAACAGTTATTATCTATGTTATAAATTACCAATTTATGAAAATGAAACGCATGTTAACAAAACCGTGTATCTACAGTCCCGTTGCAGATCATGTCTCTTTATATTTATTTATTCAATTTTTTTTTCGCTTTTTTTTTTTTTATTTCGATTCTTCTGCTAATCAAAGGGAAGCTATCCTCATATTATTTTGATACACTGAAAAGTACTGGACAACAATTCTATCGATGAACTGAAGTATACTAAAATGTACTTGTCAGTACTAGATTTAACGCTAGGTGTTTTTTCTTAATTACCTGAACCAGTACTGACTGGTACTTAATCGATCGCAGTAGTTAGTGTACTGAACATGTACTGAACATGTACTGAACAACTGAAAAAGATCTTGACATTTTTCCTTGCGGTAAATTCAGGCATTTCAGAGTTGTTCAGTTTAAAATAACCGTTTCAGTAGTAAAACACGTTACCAGTGTCTGTTAATATAATTAATTCATTTGGCTTAAAAAATCAATGAGTGAAGGTAGGAGGTGAAGTTACATTTTTGGAAGTGGGTTGTGTCCCCTTTTTATGTTTCATGTTTATTTTCACATTTACCTCCATTTTTTTTGTTAAAAGTAAACGCATAATGCATGTTTTCTCTTTGTACTGATGGGCATCAACAAGAAAATGAAGTTTATTCATAATTTACATATATAATTAACATAAAAACTTAAAAGTGTCATTACTTTCAAGTGCATGTAACAAATAAACATATGACATCTGTAGTAAATACCTGTTACTTACTGACTAAATGGACACCAAGTAATATATTTACTTGATTAATTTTAGAAATATCCAAATAACAAAAGCTAAAACTTAAAGAGTAGACAAACAAAATATGTGCATGTGGTATTAAAAAGCATTTAATTTGTGTATAATTTTGACTGGCTTTGCTCAAACAGAGGTGTTTGAAAGATGTGAAGTGTGTGGCCATTGCAGGTGTTGAAAATTGTGAATTTCACTGGTGTTTGGGGTTGTATAAAGGATTTATGTATTTAAGGGACCATTTATGTGATTCATATCGAGTTGAATAAGTCTCGTGTTGTTATTGCGAACCAAATGAAACTTTTCCACAGAGTCATCTCCTATTGGTCAATCTATTTAAATTTTGTCAGTTCTATTGTCCCATTATACAATAGCTATTGTTCTATGTGTAGTTTTTTCACTGGGACCTTTACATTTCTTCTAAGAGAAATCCATCACTCATCGATTAATTTACCTGAGTAAAAAAAATTATCTTCTAAATAGATGAAATTACATGTTGCAAATCACAAAACTGCATGTAATGTTGTATTTATTCAATATCAATAATATGTTTTCAATCTGTTCAATATAAACACTGATTTAATCATAAAAAGTTGATTTCTGAAAAAATTTTCAACATTATTCCTATAAATAGCTATTGTATTTATTCAATTGGACAATAAAACTGACAAAAGTTTAGATTGGCCAATAGGAGAAGACTCTGTCAAAAAGTTTCATTTGGTTCACAATAACAGATAGTAGGTTTTACATTTGATTTGTAATAACTTGAGAGAGAAACTTGGGAGTAGACAAACAAAATATTTAGATGCAGCTTTAACACTTTTATTGTGTTATGCTTGGTCTGCACCCAACCGTATATCTTTCTACTTTACTGTACATAGATGTCTGCAATTTTCACATTTATAACTATTAATTTCATATATAAGAATTTCTAGCATAAAATTTTCTAATGTTTATATCAATTTGGACTAAACAGTCAATAATCCTGCATCTGAAATTTACTTATTAAGATGAAAATCTTATCTTTTAAACATGTTAAAAATTATCTACAATTTTTCTGCACTAATAATTTTAGATTATTTCAACAAATTTTGTTGCCCCGTAAATTAATACAAATCTTAAATATATATACCACTTCTAGACTATAATCATGATCATGTCCTCCAAGAATCAAATCTATGTCGTCAACATTCTCTGCTAATCTTCTATCATTGGGTGTTCTCATGTGTGTTAAAGCTATTATTACATCTACTCCCTACAACAAAATATAATTTTGTATCATTAGGTCATGACTCATGAATGCTATTTATTCCCTACAACTTCTGTCATTGGACCATCTGCCTTCATTCAATTTAGGGTTAGAGTTACATTAAGGGTTAGGACTAGGTTATTATTCATAATAAGTTAGGGTAATGATTTGGGGATGGGGCTAGTGTTAGATTGCTATTTTTAGCAATACAGAAACATATATTTATATAAATTTATTTTAGAAAATGATAAGTATTCTGCAAATTTTTGTACTTCTGATAAATGATAAAAAAAATTTCAATAATACATTAATATATAAAACATTATCTGAACTCTTAAAAAAAACTTAATAAAGCAAATCTACCTGTTCTTTTAATGATCTAGTTAGTTCATTCCCTCTTTCTATATAATCTTCAAATGTGACATCTTCAGGATCTAAAGTTGCTAATGTATCAATCCATTCATGTTCAACTAAACCGATCAATCCTATCTAAAAACAAATTCAAATAATGCTGAGAGGTTGTTATTGTTCATATTGATTGATTGATTTATTTGATGATTAATTACTAGTTAATGTCTTGAATAGTCTTAAAATCATGAAATAGGATGTACAAAATATAAGATGTGCGATTGTCACACACATTTCATTATTTTTCACAGTATTCACATTTTATATATCCCACAGGCAAAGTTGACCTTTAGATTTGGCTATTATTTTTTGGTGCTATTTCGGTCATATAGTTCTTTAACTGTTGTAGTTCTTATACAATCTTAACTTTCAAATATTCGGTTTTGAGCATTCCAGTTGAAGGTAAATCCAGAAAAGCACTTAGGATGCAAGAAGTTAAAAAATATTTTTTTCATTTTTATATTATTTGTTTGTCATATACATTTTATTTTTTCCACATCCTGTTTTTGAAATTATTCAAGACATTAACTGGCAAATATTTAGAAAATAAAACAATCAATATTTAAGGAATGACTGTAATATTTTTTCTGTCTATGAAGAAATAACATCAAAAATGTGGTACACACTGAATAACCCGCGTAGCGGGTTATTTTTAAGTGTGCACTACATTTTTTATGTTATTTCGAATAGACAGAAAAAATATTACAGTCATTTCTTATAATTTAATTCTAAATTTCATTTTAAACCAGAGTAAACCATGAAAAAACGTTGATGACGTCACGGTCACATGACAAAATTATGTCTATGAGCTGATAAACAAAACAACGTCAGCCAATCAGAAGACGCGTTACATCCAAAATTAAATTATAATTTCATAACATCCAAGGCTTTGAAATATTTGGATTTCATAGTTCCTTAAGAAGGTAAATTCAGGAAGCGGTGCAGATGCAACAAAGGAGGAGGAATGATAAGAGCCAATATTTGGCCACTAAAATTGCAAAAAATAGTCAGCTCATTCAAGCCTTTCAAACTTTTGTTAATTTTATTGACAAATCAACTAATTTCTTTAATCTGAAAACTTTAGTAGAGAAGCATCACCTATGATGTCATGAACATGTAGAAATTTTATGTTTTTTTTACCTAAAATGGCCATTTCACTCTCAAGTTTTTGGTAAAAATTTACCCCAAAAGATATTTTACACACATTAACATAATTTCTAAATATTAATGACAAAATCTCAAAATGAGGTTTTTTCACATTTTTTGCTGTTTCGCACTAAATGTAAGATGTTTGAAGCCACAATACCAAAATGTAAAACAAAATAAAAAAATATAAATACTGTTGTCTGACAGACTAATTATATAATGTCTTATGAACATCTGAAAGACTTTTTTGTAAATTAATAACACTTTTTGATTTTTCGAATTCAAGGGGCCAAAAAAATGACCTAATCATACTTTTTCCTATGATTAATAAAGTGTTATTTTCATTTTGTATTTCAAATACATTGTACATTTCTGTGAACATATCCAAAGTTCAAGTATCCACAGAAGGACTCCATAATTATTTAATGAACATTGATAAAAATATAGGTCTGTATAATCATGATCTGTTTTCCAGTCCTTTTATCTGATACTTTCTGAAATTATGTTTAAATTATGCTTTTTAAAAGTTATTGACAATTAAAGATACTTTTCCTTACTAAGCTTAAAAGAATATCATATTACAGTACACACATCGGTCTTAGTAAAAAATGACTGATAATTGTAAATTCTAGCAATGAAATGTGACTGTAACATCTTTTGAAATATCTCTATGTATATTCAGTAGATAGTTATTGACAATGTAGTTGGTCACACAACTTCCATCAATTTACTTAACATGTACACCAACAAGAATAATTTTCAACTGATTTATATCCTAAGATTTGATTATATAAGCCTGTACAGTTTCAAATGAAATTTAAAAAATAAAAGAAGAATGTGTCTGTGGACACAAATGCCCTCGCTCTAGCTTGCTTATAATACGTGAAAATACATTTTGAGAGCATTTGAAGTCACTGCTAGTTTTTAAAGAGTTCTACTGTTCTAGTCCTAGGTAAGTTCTGTTGTGTCCAGTGAATTTCTCAGTTCTTGAATAATGTTTTGGTTCTTTTACTTCTAATCTCTGTTAGCTTTACTTGTTTATTTGGTAGACTAAGCATTTATGACCTTATTAGTAGTTCAGTAATGAAGATCACTCTTTGAAATTTTCCAAGTTATAAAGGGGCATGACCCTAGAACAATAAGTGACATCGAATTCTTAGCAGTGTGTATGAGTTTCATAAAATCTGCATGAGGTAAACATAAGTTAGAATGTGGGGGCATAAAAACATAAAATCAAATTTTGACATTAAAACATATTAAAATAAAATGCTTCGCTGAGCGCAGCCTAATATGACTGCAAAGGTCGAACCCTGAACAGTTTGGGCAAGTTTGGACACAATATTCAAGCTTTATACTGTCAGTGTCTGAATTTGGATTGTGATCAAGTTTTTGACATAATATAGGTTTCTGACACAAAATAAATGTGGTCAAAGATCTTAAAAATTTGAAATGGGACATTTAATTTACCTAGAATGGTTTGATATCCAAAATCTAACAACATGGTTAGATTCAGCATATAAAAAAAAACACCAAAAATTCAATTTTAGTTGAAATCAAACAAAGTTTAATTTTGGACCCTTCAAACCTTAATATGGACTAATTTGAAAACGGACCAAAATAAAAAAATCTAAATGCACAATAAGATTCAGCATATCATACAGTCGCAATAATTCAGTTTTTGATGAAATCAAACGAAGTTTAATTTTGGACCCTTTTGACCTCAATGTAGACCAATTTAAAAATGGGGCCCAATATCCAAAATAGTAATACAAGGTTAGAAAGACTTTAAATTAATCCCATTGAAGTTGGTTTAAAGATTTTATTTATTTTCAATTGAAAATTTCTTGCTATTGTGCAATACTGTGCAATTGAAGATTTCTTGCTATTGCCCAATACTGTGCTATTGTACAATACTGTGCAATTGAAAGATTTCTTGCTATTGCGCAATACTGTGCAATTGAAGATTTCTTCTTGAAGCTTTTCAAAAAATGTCTGGAAACTAGAAAAATGCTTGTTTTTGGCCCCTTTTTTGCCCCTAATTCCTGAACGTTTAGGGCAATTACCCCAAAACTCAATCCCAGCCTTCCCTTCGTGATATGGAACCTTGTGGTACAATTTCAGAGAGATCCATACACTTACACACAAGTTATTGTCCGGAAACTACAAAAATGCTTGTTTTTGGCCCCTTTTTGGTCCCTAATTCCTAAACTGTTAGTGCCATAACCCCTAAATCAATCCCTACCTTCCTTTTGTGGTATTGAACCTTCTGGTAAAATTCCATGGAGATCCATACACTTAAACTTAAGTTATTGTCCGGAAACCAAATGTGTCTTCCGACAACGACGATGACATCATACCATTATACGAACGCAAAAAAATCTTTGCAGTCATATAAAAAAATTATGTGTTTAACCTTTATTCCATGTGTTTTTATAATATGCTGTGTTTTTCCATTTGCTAGTGACTTCTCAGATAAATTGTCTATCACATTACTTAATAGCCAGGTACAACCCTTTGTCTTGGTCATAAATTCCTGTAGATGGTCTACTCCAAAATCTGTTTTAATGTAAATCAGATATATATAATATAATGTTTATAGTAAATAAATCTTGTTGAAAATTTTGAATACTATCTGATTTAAAATTGTTTGCCAAGAAAATTATTGCACTGAAAAGTATAAGAAAACTTTGGACTCAGATCTTGCTTACCATTCTCTTTCAAGATATATTTTGTGGTTTCATTTTTACCATTTTTACTGATATTGGCGATTGCAAACTTATGCTATAAACATGCACTTTACCAAATGCATAAGAGTGCTATTTTTATTTCTTGCACTGGGTTGATACCACTGTTGGTGACTGCTAGCCCCAAACATATAATTAACTCGGTAGTAAGTCTTCACATTTTCAAATACTTATATACATTCTTGGATTTCAAGTTCTTGGGTTTGAGCGTTCCTAATGAAGGTATATCAATTTCAGCATTTGGACACACCCCAAATTTTTTAAATTGTAATATTCATGTTTAACTGCATATTTTATAAAATGTATTCATATTTAACTGAAAATTTGATAAAATGTAAACTGCATATTTAATCAAATGTAAACTGCATATTAACTAAGATATCTGATAACTGTGTTGTTTCTTACCAAAGTCATGATTTCCAAATACAGCACACTGGACATTTAAACTGTTAATAATTGGTATCATCTGATCCCCTTTCATAAAAATACTCACTAAAAACAAAAATTCATATATGTCATGTACAAAATGGAATGTTGTCAGATACTTGTAAGCAAAGTGTAGACACTTAAGGATCAGTATTTCAATCAGATTGAATGTTATAATATTTTTGAAAATGTTATTTTCCTAAGGCAACAGACAAAATTTCACTAAGGTCATTTAACCTAGTTTGTTAAACAATGATACTGTTGTAAGATTGTCCACTCTACTTGTAGATGATTCCGTTGGACTAATCATGTGCTAATTGTCATTTCACAAGAACTGTCTATATAATGTATTTTCTTCTTTTCATTGAAGAAGACATGTTGTTCATTCTTTAAAGAATGTGGTTTAGATATCAGATATTTTGTCTCTGTTAATTGTATTCACAACTTGTCTAGATTCATGGCAATTTAAAGCTTGAAATATAGATGAGGGTCTTGATTGGGTTTACAGTGCAGAGAATAATGGGGCAAAAAAAAAGAAGGAAAAAGAGAGGAAAGAAATGAGCCTAAAAAATTTAGATAATGGGGTGTTGAAATATAAACAATGGAGAAAGAAGCCCAAAAATAAATTTTTTTTTTATAAATTTCAAAATACAAAATTAAATACCCCCTATCAATAGCCTTCAGGCTTGTAGACATTTGCTGAAGACCATGTTTACCCTTAGATTTCCTTTCTGGTCTTTTGATTTGTGTGTTTCTGTCTTATTGACATTATATCCAAAATCTCTTCTTAATCATATATAATGTGTAACTTATTGTCAAACCATTACTTACTTAGTGATGGATTGAGTATATCACCACTAAAGAGTACTACTGGATTTAATTCTTGACAAGACTTAATGTACGATGCCATCCTAGCTGCCCCTCCTTTTGGCTCCTCTTTCTGAGGTTCAATGTTGTACACATCATTAAAGTGGATAATGGTTATTGCTTGTCCACTCATTTTACTGCAGCTAGTCTGTTGGTATTATACAGTGTCTTTTACTTCTTTCTTGTTCTCCAGTACTCCCACAGTTGCTTGTCACTTCTGAAAATATATTATATATATATATGTGTATAAGATGACTTTTTTCATTGCAGATTACCATTCTTAGGAACCTTTTTAATTAATTGTGGGCATTTTCCACCACAATCATATAAGCAATAGACTATTTTCATATTACCGACTTTTAAATCCGATTTAAAAAAATTTTGACAGATTACCTTCTCTGTGGTAGGACATCATAGTACTCTGTCAGGTAAGACCAACCCCAAAAAAGTAAAATCAAACATATAATTGGTGCAATTAAGGCCAAGTTACAGTAAATGGGCTATGCCACAGATTTTAGTAAAATTTTGCATACAACTCTGGCTCGATGAACTACAACTGAAAATCGAAAAAATAATGCATTTATCTCTTAAATCATCTGAAATATTACTGATTGAAATCTTTCAAAATGGGTGAACATTTGTATAGAAAGCACAGAAAATCAGCAAACAAAAAATTTGTCTTAAAATCATCAAATCTCTAATACATAGATTATTCTTCAAAAACTATATGTTGTTGATATCAAAGTTAAGAAATGTATGTACCTGTTTTATGCTACCATTATAAACATGATCATTAAATCATTGTTTATTATGCAAGCGATAAAATATGAAAGCATTTATTACATTGTGGGTCAACACAGATTGTGTACTGATTATTGTACTCAAAATGAAATAAAAACTTTAATGACACCGACAGACTGACAATACATAACAATTTATCTACATGTTAAATACTTTAACATTTATTTGTACAGTGTACCATGCACTAGCATTATGACTTGTAATTTATGATATTCTAAATATGAACTACAACGTATTCCAACGAATTGTTGTCAGCAAAAAGCTTTGGAGTCCTATTTTGAAATTTGAATTGTCAGTTATGATGTATATATATTACATACATGTGACTTCAACCAAATTGTCAACGATTATAGGCATATTTTACAGACATTTTACTTATAATACTTTTGAAAACAAGTAGATTTGGGGTAAACAACAATAAAACTGCAACCAAGCAACACAGAGAACCTTAAATGCAACACACAGGGCTTACACTACTTCAGAATCATAGGGAGAAGTGACTTCTCTTTTTGAAACTGAGAGGGAGAAGTGGTGAGATTTGAAAGAGAAGTGCTCGTTCAATTGTGGTGCTACAATGTTTGGTTTTTACTTTATAACATACAAAGGGCCATATGTATCTTTTGTAAAATTTGTACCTGGGTATAAAGTAACCATGGTAACAGTTCAAATTCAAAGTTGTTTAATTTTATCATATCTAGTTGCACAATCATATTAGTCCTCTGGTCAGAAAAAAGCAATTAAATAAATAAAAAAAAGATTTTTTTTTATATCAAAAAGGTGAAGAAAGTTGTTATATCAATTAAAATTCAATTAAAAACTACCCTGTTATCATGTTTATGAAACTAAGTATTTCTCATTAAAAAGATATATAATTTTAACAGTTTTATTAAACACAGTTAAGCTTGGGCATAATATAATTATATTAGTGTTATAGTCCCAGAGTTGAGCAACTTTAATTTATAATTTTCAGGCAAATTTCATCACGTTCTAATGAAGTAACAAACTTATTTTGCCGAAAGTTAGAATGATTTGATGTACACTCTCGAGTAACAAGTATCGGAAGTGATAAAAAATTTGTCTTTATGAAAATAACATGCATGCAACCAACTTTAAAATCAATGCTTTAACCTCTTTTCTAAAGAAATTAAATCGTTTATGTCTTTGAATTTCTTTACTTTTAAATAAAAAATTGCTGTTTCATCAACTTGGTAAATGTTGAATATTGCCGATGACGAAAGCGACTGAAAGTGAGTATCGTGAACAACAGGGCGACAAGATTTCATTTTGACAGTTGGGCAAAGCAAAGTGACGGACGGGAAAGCGACTTTCTCGCCCCAGTCGCCTGCTAGCGTAAGCCCTGACACAGATTAACAAATTATATAACTGGCAATAAGATAAACATTACCGACAACAGATAATATAACTGGTAAAACAGATATTAACATATACATACATTGCCTTCAGGTTTATATGATCCGTTCATCCTATTTCGACTCTTCAAAATTCAAGAATCTATCCTAAACTGAGGTAAATTATATGGCCTTCCAAATACTGTTTCGATTCCTAACATCACTGAAGAGACATTAATTGTCGAAATCCGGATATGGTGTACTAATTTTTGCACCTTTAGTTTGCGGTATACCGTCTTTTCCGCAATATTCAACATTTACCAATGGTATACCGCAAACATGAGGTGCAAAAATTTGTACACCATATCCGGATTTCGACAATTAATGTCTCTTCAGTGATGTTAGGAATCGAAACGGTATTTGGAAGGCCATATAATTTACCTCAATTTAGGACAGTCAGGGGTACTACTTGTACAAGTTATCTTTATTTACTTGAAGAAGTAAAAAAAATATACTCATATAAGTTAATTATAATGTTTGAATAATCTCCCCTTAATTTTCTCAAAAATTTACTTGTATAAGTAAATTTTTTTTACAATCCCACAAAAATTCTCAAGTTTTGAGATGTAAAAACATGCCTTTAATGATTTTTCCCAGGTTAGCTCATAATTTTTGATTAGAGTTCAATGTTTCATCTCATTAATTCAACAAAGAAACTGATTGCGCAAAGATCTTAAGTATTTGCGCAAGGCCTTCAAAAATTGCCCCTTGGGGTCTTGTAAATGAGCAGTGTTCTGAAGATAACAGACAAATGAGATTTTCATTGTCCATGAAATTACACTTACACGATTAGTAAAGACATCTGCAAAGGACAGACAATTTAAAATTCTATTAGAACAAAGAAGTCCTAAGAATTCAAGAAAAGAAGATAGGATGACTTTTTTACTTATATAAGTAAAAAAATTTGAATGTCTAAGGGACATAACTAAGCCAAAAATTTATTTACCTATACAAGTAAATAAAATACACTTGTATAAGTATCCTACAAATTTACTTATATAAGTATATTAATATTACTTCTTCAAGTAAATAAAAATTACTTCTACAAGTAGTACCCCTGACTGTAGGATAGACTCTTGAATTTTGAAAAGTCGAAATAGGATGAACGGATCATATAAACCTGAAGGCAAATATAATACAAGCCCAAACGAAAAAATATAAATAGGTCTAAATTGAAAACAACGTTCAAACCTATGATTGCGTTGGATAAAAACCGCAATTTTTATAGGTGTGCATGCAAAACAAATTTCTAGGAGAGGCCGGGGTCAAAATACAGCACAAACAACATTTTCCAATATATATATTTATGGCAGCCAAGATAACATCAATGGCAACACAGATAACTTTACTGGCAACAGAGATAACCTCAGTGACCACACTGATAACGGTACTGGCAACACATATAACCTAACTGACAACACAGATTCATGTAACTGTACTGGCAACACAGATAACTTAACTGACCACACAGATAACAGTACTGGCAACAGAGATAACTGTACTGACCACATAGATAACTATACTGGCAACACAAATAACATAACTGACCACACTGATAACTGCACTGGCAACAGAGATAACTTAACTGACCACACAGATAACTGTACTGGCAACACATATAACCTAACTGACTACACTGATAACTGTACTGGCAACACAGATGACTTAACTGACCACACAGATAACTGTACTGACAGGCAACAGAGATAACTTAACTGACCACATAGATAACTGTACTGGCAACACAAATAACATAACTGACCACACTGATAACTGCACTGGCAACAGAGATACCCATAACGTCACTGACAACACAGATAACTGCACTGGCAACAGAGATACCCATAACCTCACTGACAACACAGATAACTGCACTGGCAACAGAGATACCCATAACCTCACTGACAACACAGATATATTAAAATGTACTGGCAACACAGATAACCTTAACTGACCACACTGATGACTGTACTGGCAACAGAGATAACTTAACTGACCACATAGATAACTGTACTGGCAACACAAATAACATAACTGACCACACTGATAACTGCACTGGCAACAGAGATACCCATAACCTCACTGACAACACAGATATATTAAAATGTTCTGGCAACACAGATAACCTTAACTGACCACACTGATAACTGTACTGGCAACACAGATAAATGTACTTGCAACACAGATAAATGTACTTGCAACACAGATAACATAACCATGATAACTGGCAGTGTTACAGCTAGGCTAGTGTTACAGAGGGTGCGGAGCCCATCCTTTTTTGAATGGCACCCTGTGCTCTTTTTATAGTTTCCAGCGCGCCCTTTGCCTTTTTCAGTGTGCACTGCCTTTTTGGAGATCAATTATATTTCATTTTCATTCATATGAAAATACTATAATTTTACATGGCTATTTGTGACAAGTTTATGACCCCAAGCTAATTAACTACATGTACAAGTAATCCACTAATCGTATCGGTCACTAATCTTTTAATGATCCTCTGACATACTTTGTAATTGTTTTTTCCTTTAAAATCAATCAGTCGTAATTTCAATTTCAATGTTTCTCAAACCACCAGTCATTTATCGTACATTTGTAATTTTGTCATTTAAATGAAATTGACAAAAAGAAGAAATCTACATTGTATTCGTAATCATGGTAATCCATATAACTTTCAGGAAAAACTTTCAACAATTCAAATTAAAAAAAATAAAAATGAAAATATCAGCATAAACATGATAAAAACGTTAAGTAACGAAAATATAATGCAAAGGCATATATTATAGGACTAGGGTTTAAATTAGCATTCATCCTTACTAAACATGCTAAACTTGTCAGTTTTGCTTTGATAAATGTTGATGCAGTCACTGTCAATACATTTTATGACAATGATGATTAATTTAAATACATGTACCTACATTTAACTGCTATGCATCTCATCTGTTCAATTCTATCAAGGAGACATTATAGATATTTTAATATCTTCTTTATAGGTTATTTTCTCTTTTGTACATTTTGATGGTTTTTAGTTATATCATTAAAAATATTGCATGGTCAGGTGACATGTGTGAGGGAAGTAAACACCTGTCTCTTGTCACACAATCTTTTAAGATAGCTACCAAAATGTGAGTATATTTATATCATTTGGAAAGTGTTCCAAAAGGACCCACATACTACATGTACTACAAAATGTAATCCTTTCAGTACAGTTTATATTATCATCAGGCCCGTAGCCAGGAATTTCCAAGGGGGGTTACATGGACTCGCGAAGCTCACTTTAACAGTTACAACAATTCAAACTGAACGTCGACTTTAACAGTGCTTATTTGTTTTCAAGGGGGGGGGGGGGGGGGTCGTACGAACACACACACACACACCCGGCTACGGTTGTGATCATGACTATGTTGACGAAACTTTTTCCAGGTCGTCTGCACGCCAGCTCGGTCATTATAATTTGGCACGTAGAAAACTTATTTTGACTATTATGGTTTAGCTCTTACCACCGTAATTGCGTCGTTTTCTTTCTTTTAAGATCATTTCATACACTCATGTATATATATATATATCTACACATGTCCATGAATTATTTCCTTTTCAACTGTTCAACGTTCACAAACTTTCCAAAACACAAATATTCTCCGGAACAGTAGCCGGAAATAATACGTTCATTTCCGTGCGGATATGTAATTTTAAATAGTAGGACTATTCTTTAGAGCAAGAATTTGTAGACTTTAAAAAGTAAAGGCTATACAAATCATTGACTACAAAAAATCAAAAATATGTCATTTAAACCATAATAATGTATTAGAATAAATGAAAACAACACGTTATTAATTTCATGCGTCCTCATAAAAGATCATCATCATATTGCAACTATAATTTCTTAATCGACCCAGTCGATAGAAAAAAAATACCGTGGCTAAGCATTAGATGTTTAGGCCACAACAAAGAGTTATCAATAGTAAGTTACTGTTATTCTAACTAGCTTTTTATACTTTATGTCAACTGATTCGATCAGCATCATTATACTAGAAATCAAGATTATCCATCATTTTGTTATTTTGTAATTTACGACTGGAAACAATCAACATACTTTGGACTTTTCAGTAGTCTATTTTTTTTAGCCACATCAGTATCTGTACACCACGTATGAACAGGCGCTTGGTACATTGATTCCTTTTCTTTTTCTTTTTTTTCAGGTGGTGGGGGTGGGGGGTGGGGGCGGAAAATAAGGTGAGATGCACAAAATATCATATAAACTCCTGTTGTTGAAATATCATGGATAAGAGCTAGAACACATTAACTAAGTGAAAATAAGTTTAAAATTAAATAAATTTTAGTTCATCTGTATGCATGTTATGGAGTTTAGTGTGGCGTCATTTCGCTTAACCTGGGACATAATATATTGATAGATGGTATAATAGTCCCAGGCTGAACTATACATTATTGTTAAGGGACCAACTAAAGCCCGTCCGGGTGCGGGATTTTCTCCCTGCGTTGAATAATAAACATTATCTTTTGGTACACTAGATGATAAACAAAACTACAAAGTCATGTGAACCTTACTAGATTATTATTTTTAGCACGGAAAGTTAAATGTTTGCAAGAAGTACGAAGCATTCCGAATTATCATCAAATCCAAGTTTTTAACCATATTTATAAAAATGTAAATAAAAAAAGCTTCATTCTCACAAATAGTCAGTAAGTAATACATTGCATGGGCAACACAAGAATGTTCATGAAAAATTACCAATCAAAATGCTCAGCTACGACTGTGATTGACGTATCACGGAATAAATAAAATACTAATTATAAATAAACAAATATTAAATAATATGTTATGTATATGTTTTTATATTCGGTCAAAAGCTCCTTGGTGCTTGTGTTGTATATTTGACTTATGCCGAATCAAAATGTTTTTCTTATACTTATTCTTATTTAATTAAAATACATTTAGCATAATATGAGGCAGTATTTATTTTGGCAACAAATTCCATCGTTTGTAAAGGAAATCTCAATTTCGACTGGGGAGTCGGAGAATGTCGGGTATCGACGGGGACTGTATAGGCAAACTAAATATTTTGTCAGAATTTTCGCATTTTACCAGCAATCATACCGCATCTCCTTATTTCTATAATTGTTCTATTTATTTTATTTAAAAAATGTATGTTAGATTTATTTAATATTTAGGTACATACATTTGAAATATTTAAAGAAGGAAATAAATTATAAATTAATAAAAAAAGAAAAATATTTTCATTATGTAATTTAGAAAATATAGTTAATCAATTTAATTCTTTATTTAAAAATAAAATATGATCTTAGTCTTTTCTACTCCAGTAATTAAATTATATTGAGATATAACGTTATATATAGTAAATGTGTTTCATGAGGTCATTCACTTCATGTCAAATAAAAAGGATGATCGTAGTTAAAATAAATGCAGGTGCTTCATGCGTTTTGCATTGATGCATATAAACATCAAAGTTATTTGGCATACCGTTCATAAGTTGTTTTAAGGAATATCTATAGCAGAAATTCATGTGTTATTATCAACTGATAATGTACTATGGTATCCCAGAGACACATATATAAACATGTGTATATATCATGTATATGTCTCTGATTATCCTTTGAACTATATATAATTTATGTACTGCATGTGATATTTCCGTCATGACTGAAAAGAAAGGAAATTCCAATAATTAAAATTTCTTGCATTTTACCAGGAAATTGAGTGTGTTTTATTCATTTCCTTTAAAAAGGTCGTAAGGCAAGATTCCAAACTTACACTACCCAAGAGCAACCCCTGCATGAGTAGCATCCACAGGTATGCATCGTCTACAGTGTTAATGTCAATGTGCAGTCCATAAATGAGTGTTGCGATAGAGGACACTATAAGTCCCGTTACAACACAGACTTTTTAAATATCACTGACTCATGAATTTCTGTAATACTAACATCATAAAGACGTCAATATTTTATTCATTGACAACATATTTGTTGCTGTTAGTGAACGTGTTATTTAACAGCCAGCTGGCTTTCTTTGGGAACAATTTAGCTCCTTTTCACGCCAACTTGTTCTTTTGTTCGATCCATGCAGGCTTCATGCATATAGAAGCTTTTATAACTAGAATGAAAACGGAGCTAGTATTATAATTTAACTTCTGGTTCCTCTTTAAATATTTACCGTTTTGTTACTGAATATCTAAAGTTTGGTGACCATGCTAATATGCATCTATTCCTTTTAACTTGAAGTAAAGGATTACACAAATAGTTAGGTCTGTTTCATATAGAAATTGACAGAAATATGTAATACTAAACTTTATGACAGATACGATGATTTCAAATTATCCATATCAATCTTTCCATTTTCATATTGAAACATTTTCATTCGTTAGGCTACTTAATATGGAGTATATATATATCTCCCAGTTGATACGATATTCGAGGGGCCTGATGGAGGGGTCTCATCACGATTCACGAGTTGATTTTTTTGTCAATCACGATTCACAGAAAATAAATTTCCATGATCACGGATCACGAAAATATAAAAAAAAAAAAAATCTGTAGAAAAACGGATCACGATAGCGAAAATGCGCCGATCACGAAGAACGAAAATAATCCATCAGGCCCCTCATATTCCACATCTTGTTTTCTTGAAATGATTTTTGTGACAGAGAATTGTTGCTTCCTATGAAGTTGTGGACCAAGGGTTCTTAATGGTAAAGTTGAAGTCAACACATATATTTTTTTACTAACGCCAATATGATTTGAAATATTATAAACAACTGCAAACAAAAAAATCTTTTATAATTATAAAATAGCTAGTTAATAAAATTTGTATCCAGCATAAAAATGTCAGCTGCCAGTGTTAAAGTAGGGTATACATGTATGTATGGTGTATGGTAACATTCAATTTTCCCGTCCGTCAGTGAATCCATGCTGGGGGTTGGCACCTGTTTGGCATAATGCGGGATCACTTGGTGATAGATGTCCTCATGCATAAATGTTAGAACTTTTCGGACCCTATCCAAAATATCATCTTATTTCAGTTGCATTACAAAGTTTCCTTCTTTCATTTCTTTTGGCAGTCATCCATTTTTTTTTTGTTAAACCTACTCCTGGATTTATTTTTGATTTGTTCTTATCCTGAGTATGAACGAAATATTTTCCACTGGACGTTAAGCAAACATATAAAATAGCCTTTTGACATAGATGCTGAAAACTCTTTTGATATGCTGATTTCGCCCTTGAACCATCCCTTACCAAGAAGCATTGCGATCTTTGACCCTTGCTGAGGCCTTGTATTGCTTTGCCTCACTAGAAAAAGGACCAAGCTATACCACTGAGCCATTTACAATTTGGTCCTATGTTCAGAAACACACCATAATGTTGCTAAAACTCAAACGTAAAAAGATGTTCAGAAAATAAAAAAAGAATAATAAAAAGAATGACAAAACGATACAAATCAAGACGCACCAATGTTGCTGCGTTTGAAATGCATTTCAGGATTAATCCTTATCCTCAAGGACTTAGCGCGGAAATTTCAGTCAGTTCAATATGTATCAAATGCATGAGAGCAATAAAACCAAAGACAGTCCTAGTTCATAATAGAAATATGAAATTCTTTCGTATATTTTCAAACCATTATGAATGAAATGAGCCTTATTCCCTGAATAATATTCATGTTTGCTTGACAACTGCCGTTGTCGTTATTACAAGTCATATCAATTATTCTTCAAAATATCTTTTTCAGATGTCTGGAAACAGAGCGCCATCGGTGATTACATATTTTGATCATTCTGGCGAAGGGGATATCTTAATACAAAATGTATGTGTACCTAAAGATCTTTGCCCAAAATATACTTATTATTGTTGTCTAAATTGGAATATGGGTGGAGTTGGAGGTGGATACTGTGGAATACAGTGTCACGAGGACGGAAACTGCTTCATTTGTTCGTTATGGGATCCTCCAGTAGGAACACAAAGGTCGATAGAATCAGTTTTCAAGTCTGAAGGAAATTCTTTTACAGAACGCTTTGGCGGGGAAGGAGAAGGGTTAAAGTACATGAACTTTGAACACAGATGGGAACCAGATCAATGGTATACTTTGGTTGTTCGAAGATGGAACAAGAATGGTAACACGCAATTTGGTCTCTGGGTATATGATACACAAAAATCAAAATGGATACGAATGGTAACTATGGATTTTCCATTACCAGATATATATTTTTCAAGTCCTGTAGCTTGCTTTGTTGAAGATTGGCATGGCAATGGTGAAAATCCACGTGGAGCCAAGTACAAGGGTACATTCAAAAGAAGCAAAGATGGATGCTGGGAATGTTTGAAAAATGGGCAATACTTGGTAAACCAAGAAGATGCTTGTAAAAAGTGGAACAACAATTTCAGAATTGAATCAGTTGACTGTGACGAGTTAATGATGCAAACGGGAGGTAGAACGAAACCAGGATGTGATGATGCTAGAGGTCAAATTTCTATGGATACCAACATATGCAAGCCAAAAATACTTCCAGTAAGTTTTGAAGTAGTAAAAGTTACAGAATCAGTAATCGAATGGAACGTAAACGAATCAAGCACACCACAATTTTCTTATTGCATCTCAGTCAATGGTTCTGAAATCGAATCAGCAATAGACCCAAGTTGTAGGCAAGTTAAAATTCCACGTTTCCAGGGAAGTACAATTGAAGTAAAACTTCAGGATATCATAGGGCAGGAGGTTTCACAAATTGTTACCGGATAGAATCTTGAATTAACAATGACAAAAGTTTTTGTTTTAATATAATTGTACATTGCGGGACAGAATCTGATTATTATTTAAATTCTAGTATAAACTTGGCTAATATTCAAGCATCATTCATATCGTATATCAATAACTTAGTCTTGCTTATATATATGCATTTTGTATTTTTTAAGAAACGATGACTTCCAGAAATATTTTCTTTTCCATTGCTATTGAATGGGTTCCATTCGGAGTTTGATACCAGTCTGTACTTGGAGGTTTTGGCCAATCGTCTTTGCAACTCTTGAGATTTTTATAATTGAATAGATATATACATCATAAGACTTGGTACATGCATGTAGGTGATGAAAGAAACACATGGGGATATGGTTATTGACAAAGATGTGTAGTGACCTTTTAGTCTTAGAGCCTCTAGCCTTTGTTAGTCTTGTATTATTTTTATACGACCGCAAAAAAATTTTTGTGGTCGTATATTGGTATGACGTTGGCGTCGTCGTCGTCGTCGTCGTCCGGCGTCGTCGTCCGAAGACGCATTAGTTTTCGCACTCTAACTTTAGTTTAAGTGAATGGATCTCTATGAAATTTTACCATAAGGTTCAATACCACAAAAGGAAAGTGGGGATTGATTTTGGGGGTTATGGTACCAACAGTTAAGGAATTAGGGGCCAAAAAGGGGCAAAAAATAAGCATTTTCTAGTTTCCAGACAATAACTGTGGAACGGTGTATGGATCTCTCTGAAATTATACTACAAGTTTCCATACCACAAAGGGATGGTTAGGATTTGCTTTGGGGGGTTATTGCTCAAACCGTTTAAGAATTAGGGGCAAAAAGGGGGAAAAACAAGGTTGTCCTCATTAATGGACAAATACTTTAGTACAAAACATAATTTAAGGCAGTGTAAGGGAGATAAATCAAATACATCATTGAAATTATCTCCCTTACACTGCTTTTAAATTATGTATAAAGTAATGGTTAATGAACAATTAAGATAATTTAATACAACGTTTTGGTTACTTCCCTTACACTGCTTTTAAATTATGTTTAAAGAAATGCATATTTATAAAGGAAGACCAGTATGGCGCATTAGATTTGTAAAATCTTTGACCACATTTATTTATTTGTTATGACGAATCTAACCGTGTATTTAGATTTTTAATTTTGGGTCCAGTTTTCAAATTGGTCTACATTAAGGTCCAAAGGGTCCAAAATTAAACTTTGTTTGATTTTAACAAAAATTGAATATATGGGGTTCTTTGATATGCTGAATCTAAACATGTATTTAGATTTTTGATTTTTGGCCCAGTTTTCAAGTTGGTCCAAATTGCAGTGATCGGGAAGGACGTGCGCCTTGCGCCAATTGCGCTTATCGACCAGAAATGGCGCATAGAGTGACAAATGTAAGCGCCCGCGTGGCGCATGATATTTTTCACTTCGTTTTGAAACGTTGAGATATCGTCAAATGGATTTCCGATCGTATTTCGTGCCGCCATGTGTGAGTACACAATGATATGAGCACCTATATATTTTATGGACGTCTCGGGTGTTTTCCTATGGTAATAATAGCAACATGCGGTATGACTGATTACCCAAAAAACGTAATTAACCATCATTCATGATATAATTTTTTATAAACAACTTTAAATTTGTGAAAATTGGCTAGTACAGTCGATAATTTTTCTCTAATTATAATCTTTTAAGTAAGCTTGCTATTATTTCGATTGAAAAATCCAAAAGCCTTTTTATGAATAGCATAGTATTTGTCTCCATAAAAGGGGCTTAACTGTCCTTGTCAGTTTTTTTGGTCTTTGGCTCGTTTTGACATTAAACATGCCTTCAGCGAATTGTTGTTGTGTCTTATCAATTAACGTTGCTCTCTACTGTTATTCTTGTCATCGTGATGAAGTAATAATAATACAAGTGCAGAGGAAATGCCAGAAACGTCCTCTAATACGGTACGTCTGGAATAAGTATGGTATCGACGAAGACCCAAATTTAATGTAAAAAAAACATGAACATGAACAAGGGAACAGTATCAGTTTTAACATTGTAAATAAAGGTTATCGTAAATATTGCCCGGTTTGGAAGAAGTTATTGTATATTCATTGAAATTGAAATAACAAAATCACAGGTACAATTTCCATGATATTAATTAGAATCATACTTGTAAGTACAGTGAAATATACACTTTTTTAATTTTTTTTTATTGTTAAAGAATGGCCCACTCATTTGACAACATGGCCCATTAATTCTAAAAATGGCCCATGGAATTTATTTTTGATGGGCCCTGGGCCCATAGAGAAAAAATCCTTCCAGATCACTGAAATTGGGGTCCAAAATTAAACTTTGTTTGATTTCAACAAAAATTGAATATATGGGGTTCTTTGATATGCTGAATCTAACCATGTATTTAGATTTTTTATTTGTGGACCCCGCTATCAAATTGGTTCATATTGAGGTCAAAAGGGTCCAAAATTAAACTTTGCTTGATTTCATCAAAAATTGAATTATTGGGGTTCTTTGATATGCCAAATCTAACCGTGTATTTAGATTTTTAATTTTGGGTCCCGTTTTTTAAATTGGTCTACATTAAGGTCCAAAGGGTCCAAAATTAAACTTAGTTTGATTTTAACAAAAATTTGATTCTTGGGGTTCTTTGATATGCTGAAACATGTTTAGATTCATGGGCCCAGTTTACAAGTTGGTCCAAGTTGGGGTCCAAAATTAAACTTTGTTTGATTTCAACAAAAATTGAATATATAGGGTTCTTTGATATGCTGAATCTAAACATGTATTTAGATTTTAGATTTTTGGCCCAGTTTTCAAGTTAGTCCAAATTGGGGTCCAAAATTAAACTTTGTTTGATTTCAACAAAAATTGAATATATGGGGTTCTTTGATATGCTGAATCTTACCATGTATTTAGATTTTTTATTTGTGGGCCCGCTATCAAATTGGTTCATATTGAGGTCAAAAGGGTCCAAAATTAAACTTTGTTTGATTTCATCAAAAATTGAATTATTGGGGTTCTTTGATATGCCAAATCTAACCGTGTATTTAGATTTTTAATTTTGGGTCCCGTTTTTAAATTGGTCTACATTAAGGTCCAAAGGGTCCAAAATTAAACTTAGTTTGATTTTAACAAAAATTGAATATTTGGGGTTCTTTGATATGCTGAATCTAAACATGTGTTTAGATTTTTGATTATGGGCCCAGTTTTCAAGTTTGTCCAAGTTGGGGTCCAAAATTAAACTTTGTTTGATTTCAACAAAAATTGAATATATGGGGTTCTTTGATATGCTGAATCTAAACATGTATTTATATTTTTGATTTTTGGCCCAGTTTTCAAGTTGGTCCAAATTGGGGTCCAAAATTAAACTTTATTATATTTCAACAAAAATTGAATATATGGGGTTCTTTGATATGCTGAATCTTACCATGTATTTAGATTTTTTATTTGCTATCAAATTGGTTCATATTGAGGTTAAAAGGGTCCAAAATTAAACTTTGTTTGATTTCATCAAAAATTGAATTATTGGGGTTCTTTGATATGCCAAATCTAACCGTGTTTTTAGATTTTTAATTTTGGGTCCCGTTTTTTAAATTGGTCTACATTAAGGTCCAAAGGGTCCAAAATTAAACTTAGTTTGATTTTAACAAAAATTGAATTCTTGGGGTACTTTGATATGCTGAATCTAAACATGTGTTTAGATTTTTGATTATGGGACCAGTTTTCAAGTTTGTCCAAGTTGGGGTCCAAAATTAAACTTTGTTTGATTTCAACAAAAATTGAATATATGGGGTTCTTTGATATGCTGAATCTAACCATGTATTTTGATTTTGGACATTGGACCATAATAGGTAAATTAAAAAAATTGAAGTTCTTAGACCACATTCTTTCTGTGTCAGAAACCTATGCTGTGTCAAATATTTAATCACAATCCAAATTCAGAGCTGTATCAAGCTTGAATGTTGTGTCCATACTTGCCCCAACTGTTCAGGGTTCGACCTCTGCGGTCGTATCAAGCTGCGCCTAGCGAAGCATTTTATTAATTTTAGTTTCTTGTGTACAATTTGGAGTTTAGTATGGCGTTCATTATCACTGAACTAGTATATATATTTGTTTATGGGCCAGCTGAAGGACGCTTCCGGGTGCGGGAATTTCTCGCTGCATTGAAGACCTGTTGGTGACCCTCTGCTGTTGTCTGTTCTATGGTCGGGTTGTTGTCTCTTTGACACATTCCCCATTTCCATTCTCAATTTTATTAGATGCATGCTATTTTTTATTAGTTGTTATTGGCTTTGAACTAGCTGTCAGTAATTGCGAGTACTCTCAGATCTGTACTTAGTGTCTTTTTGTTGTGGGGATGTATAAGTACCCTGCCACGTCCACTCTGTGTTTTTGTTAGATGTATTTCTGATTTGTACCCATCTGATGAGTTAAGCCCTTTTCAACTGATTTTTATAGTTTGTTCTTATGTTGTACTGTTACACCACTGTCCCAGGTTAGCGGGAGGGTTGGGCGCTCGCAAACATGTTGAACTCCGCCACATTCTGTATGTGCCTGTCCCAAGTCAGGAGCCTGTAATTCAGTGGTTGTCGTTTGTTGCTGTATATCATATTTATTTTTCGTTTATTATTTTGTACATAAATCAGTTTTCTCGTTTGAATTGTTTTACATTTGTCTTTTCGTGGCCTTTTATAGCTGACTATGCGGTACGGGTGTTACTCATTGTTGAAGGCCGTACGGTGACCTATAGTTGTTAATTTCTGTGTCATTTGGTCTCTTGTGGAGAGATGTCTCATTGGCAATAATGGCACATGTATCTTCTTATTTTTATATATATTAAGGTGTCAATGTTTAATAAATAATTCTTGAGGCTGACGTTCACTGACACTTTTATCTTTTTCATAGAGATCGATCTTAATATTGGAACATGTAGTTATCTTATAGCTCATTGAATTCGCCCAGTGCCTTATACATGCACGAAATTACAAAGAACAGCAAGACAACTGGCTTGCTAAGTATAAAAAAAGGTTTCAGTCAACATTCGCTAAGGGCAAGAAGGTTTATCTGTAACTGCATCTGCAGATCTGTTTCGTTTTTTTGCCATGG